TTTTTTGGCACTCAGGGCATTTGAAGGGTTTTCCACTCAAAATGGGGCTGGGTCCTGCCCCTTCCCCAACACCAGTCCTATACTCAGGAAATATATAGGGTTTTTCATTTCCATGGGTAAGCTGATGCTGATGGAGCACAGAACGGTCCAAGAAGCTTTCCCCACAGTGAGAACAGATGTAGGATTTTGGGGAGAGCAGTTCCAAACTCTGACTGAAGCTTTCTCGACCCTCAAGGTTTTTAGGGGTTGGTCCAATATGGTCCGAGCTGTCACCCTTCTCAGCACCTGGATAGGATTTCCTCCCAAGGAAGGTCCTCTGGGGGCGGAGCTGAGAAGGGTGGGGAGATGGACGTTCAGTGCCATCAGTGGTTTTGTATGGATTTTCTCCAATATGTATTCTCTGATGCTGCATAAAAATAGCCTCATCATTAAAGCCCTTACCACACACCAAACACTTGTGTGGTTTGGCTCCAGGTGGTGGCAGCAGAGCTGATTCCCCAAGGCCCACTGAGAATTTATAGGGTTTCTCTCCTGCTGGGCTGGCTGGCTCTGCCCCATCCCCAGAAGGGGGCTTTCCACCTCCATGTATTAGTCGATGTTGCAGCAGCTCAGCTGCATCCACAAATGCCTTCCCACACTCAGGGCACAAGAAGAGGTTCTCATCCATGTGGGTACGGACATGGGTGATGAGGTTGGAGCTCTGGCTGAAACTCTTTCCACACTCAGGACATTTGTAGGGTTTCTCCCCAGTGTGGGTCCGCCGGTGCTGAATGAGGTGGGAACTTCGGATGAAGCTCTTGCCACAGTCAGGGCACTTGTAGGGCTTCTCACCTGTGTGGATACGCTGATGTCGGATGAGTGTGGAGCTCATTATGAAGCTTTTACCACAGTCAGCACAGATGTATGGCCGCTCCCCTCGATGGATGCGCTGGTGGTTAATGAGGTTGGAGCTGACACTAAAGCTCTTGCCACACTCAGGGCATTTGTAGGGTCGCTCACCTGTGTGGGTTCGCTGATGCCGCAATAGTGTAGCACTAAGAGTAAAGGTCTTTCCACATACTGGACACTTGAAGGGGTCCTCCCGAAGATGAGTACGCTGGTGCTTAATGAGGGTGGAACTGTGCCCAAAGCTTTTACCACACTCTAGGCACTCATAGGGCTTCTCACCAGTGTGTGTGCGCTGGTGTTGTGTCAGCTCCGAGCTTTGGATAAAGCTCTTGCCACACTCAGTGCACCGATATGGCTTCTCACCTGCATGTATCTTCTGGTGCTTGAGAAGGTTGTGGTTCTGGCCAAAGCGCTTGCCACATTCTGTGCACTTGTAGGGCTTCTCACCTGTGTGGGTCGCCTGGTGTTGGATGAGGTCTGAGCTGCGGTAGAAGGCACGTCGGCACTCACCACACTTGTAGGGCTTCTCACCCGTGTGAGAGCGTTGGTGCTTGATGAGGTTGGTGCTCTGGGTGAAGGCCTTCTCACACTCAGTGCACTTGTAGGGCTTCTCACCTGTATGTGTCCGCTGGTGCTGCACCAGGTTGGAGCTCCAGCTGAAGCACTTACCACAGTCAGGGCACTTGTAGGGCTTCTCACCTGTGTGGGTACGCTGGTGCTGCACCAAATGGGAACTCTGGGTGAAACTCTTGCCACACTCAGAGCAGGTGTTGGGGCGTTCACCTGTGTGGATACGCTGGTGCCGCAGCAGCTTAGACCACTGGCTGAAGCTCTTACCACACTCATTGCAGATATACGGTTTGTCACCCCCTGAGGGCCGGCCCTGAACCAGCTCGCGAAGGCTGGGCTCACTGGCTGTCACTATTGGGGGG